GCTATATTTATTTATATATATATATATATATATATATATATATATATATATATAAAGCCGGTGGCACCGCCACCCTGGTGCCTTTAGGGTTATTGTGCACGACGTGCAAAAACGTAACCCTGCTTTGACTGTCGAAAAGAAGTGTGCTGTAGAGCTTGTATCAGTGTGGGCTCTGCAAAAGTGTGCATTGAGGGCACATGTCAACCACAAAGTATGCGAGAGCAACCTTCTGAAAGGTCAGGTCTACATCCAGGTCTACATCTGCCGTGTGTTTACATCATAGTAGTGAAGTTTGAAGCAATCAGGTGATTTCAAAGCTTTTTGAAAGTGACAGACTTTGTGCTGCCAGTTGGTGGCGCTATAACCGGGGTGGCGGTGCCGCCGGCTTTGGCCCTTTCATCGCTGCTCGCAGCTATATTTATATATATATATATACACACACACACACACACACACACATATATATATATATATATATATATATATATATACATAAATATATATATATTGTTTTTTTAAGAGACAAGACAGAATATTACTTGCCTGATCTGATTAGAAAAATAGTGTTTGTGTGTGTGTGTGTGTGTGTGTGTGTGTGTGTGTGTGTGTGTGTGTGTGTGTGTGTGTGTGTGGCGTAATTGAACAATGTAGACATAAAGACATACTCCGTCCTTTTGTTCATACAGGACATTATTCAAACTGCAAAGTGTTTACTTATATTTGTGTACACTCGCAATAAAACACAACATTGTGCTTTTGTCAAACTATAAACTCTTGTCAAACTGTAAACTACAACTGTCACCCAACCAAAATCTCTTACACACACACACACACACACACACACACACACACACACACAAACACACAGTTTAAAAGCAAAAAATATCAAACAATCCTATTTAAAAACAGTCTGTGGGAGCCATCTTTTGGACATTCATCATATCGCATTGGTTTTCATTTCTTGTCATCAAACAGAGCCCTAATCTGTTTATTTTTTCAGTTACACATTCTACATTGATTAAAAAAGAAAAATCAAATGTGTTTTTATTTTATACAGAAATAAATAATCTATCATTCAGATGAGAATAAAGTTAGTGTTAGTTCAAATTTTAAGGAAAACAAATATATGATCTGAAATATAGCACATTCATGTAAAATTAATTTAGGTTCGATTACCAAACATACAATCTTAATGTAATTTAAAGCAAACAATACATTTAAAATATATGGGTTGTATGACTATTTTTTAATATAAAAAGATATATATCCAAAAAGACAAGGCCTAAAGTTTAACAAGGGTTAAACTCTTATCACTGTAACAGACACAATCACACACACAATCACACACACACACACAAGTCAAATCACTTACATTTTACATGCAATATTGACTTTTTTTCTGTTTCAGCAGCGAAAATAGTTAAACAAAGATCACAGCAGAACCATCGCGCATCTCACAGCAACGCGTTCTCATTACTGAATGATTCAGCATTTTGAACGAATCGGTTGACTCAAAGATTCAATGACCAATCAATCCATAAACATCTATCTCATTCATGAATGACTCAGTCGTTCAAACGAATGAATCAATGACTCGCTCATTAAGACGGTCGCCTGGCGACACCTAATGACGGTTTAGTGTTATGTTTAAAAGTATCATTCTTTCCAACGATTGTTAATTAACTCATATTTGAAACATAAGCTATATTTATATATATACATACATATACACACACATACACAAAAATAAAATAAAAACACATTTGAAACGTGTTTGCTTACTAAATTGTGAGCTGAACGAAAGTTGCAGCAAATATCAGCAACAGGAGTCAAATTTCATTAATCACGAGAGTGAAGAGCTGACTGAAAAGATGATGACGGAATAGGCTATTTTATGTAAAAACGCCTATTTAAGCGAATCTGTCATTGTACTCTTTTGTTGTTGTGTTTTCCGTGAAAAATAATAGACTATTGAACTCACAATTCAAGCAATTGGCCCCCGATATTGCACTAATTTTAAAGTGACACTAAAAAGTATGCGGCTGCAGTGGCATTCATTACAGTGCGCATCCATGGCGACGAGCGAGCAGAACAGAGCGAACGTTTTTTCATTTCTACTTCCATAGAAATTCATTCGAGCGCACTGCGAGCGCCACCACTATAAATGTCCTTACTTTACTTTCACTTTTAACTTAGCGATATAAAAGCCCCCGGTGTTACACGTCAAATAACCGGTGAGAAAAAATTCTCGGAGTCACATAGCAGCTCCCTATATTTAAATACAACAGGCCTACCTGATTTTGAACACAAGAGGGCAGTATAGCCCTATGTATTATTTGATATATTTATTTTTTAACTGAATAGTGCATCCTGGCTGTTTTTAAACTTGTACATTATTCTTAAATTGAAAACAAGAATAAAATGGGTTTAGTTCTGATATTTGTATAATTTTATCTAGAAATAAATGGTGTATAATTACATTTTTAGAAGATATGAAGCTTTTAGTGTTTTTTTTTTTTTTTTACATGACTTTAATCCCTCGCCATAGCAAAACAATTAGAGATATTCAATAGATATTCACAATTATGCTTCTTTAATGTATTTTCATCATGTTGAAAAAGTTTGGTGGGAATAAAATAAACCACTTAAGAGGAGTGATGCATATTTTGTCATTTAAAAAAAAATACAAAAATTGTTATGCGAAAAGACAAGGACTTAGAGATTTCTTTATCCTTTAATGCAGGAAAAATCATACAGCCAGCCACACACACACACACACACACACATAAACACAGACACCAACCCTCCCTCCCTCCCCTCCCCTCTGCTCCCCTCCCCACACAGACACACACACAAACAGAATGGCAGGGGGACAAGAAATCCATTCAAACTACAATATCTGACTTTCTGTTGCTCTGAGCTAATGACTTTAAATTAGAAAGTCGATTGGCTTGATGAGAACAATATGCGTGGCAAGTTTTGTAACTGTAGGTAAAACGAGCAAAGTTATAACACACTTTATGTGTCCTTTTTTAGTCATAAAATTAATTTCCTCGCCACGGCCAAACCGTTCGAGATATCAAAAATCCCTCCGGAATTTAGCATCATCAATGTCTTGACGTCATGCTGACCGAGTTTGCTTGAAATCCGATCAATTCCCAAGGAGAATTAAATAGAATTTCAGGGGTATGCGTTTCCAAACAAACCATGATAGCCGGCTTCCTGTTGGGATGTCGTAAAACTTAGAGCACGAAAGTTGTTTAACCCAATGAGATCTATAAGTGTACAGAGTTTCATATTATTACATGCAAGTGTCTTTGATTTATGGACAAGTGTTCGAATCCCAGTCCAGGGGGCGCTGTCGGTCCGCCCTGCCACGCCCGGGTACCAGCTTCAGTCCGGCCCTGATGGCCACGGGTTCTGACCCGTGTGCAAAGTTTCAAGAGTTTTAGAGGATGTTAAGGGCCCCAAAAGCCCCCGAAACCTTGATCAACAATAATTAAAAGCTTTGTCACTCAAACAGACACATCCCCCTCCCCCCACAGACACAGAGGTATGCAGAGAGAGGGAGAGAGGGACAGAGATTACTCCAAAACATCCCATTCAAACCAAAATATCTGACTTCCTGTTGTTCGGAACCAAAAACTGTAAATTAGAAAGTTGTCCGGCTTGATCTGAACAATATGCCTACCGAGTTATAAGATTGCAGGTAAAACTATGAAACTAACCCTCTCACTTTTGTCAAAAGGTGGCGCTACTGAGTCCCTGCACCACGCCCGTTCCTGAAACTTTGCACATGTCTACTGGCTAATAAATGTGACGTGTCTGTCGAGTTTCATGCAATTTCAAGCATGCTAAGAGTCTCAAAAGCATCAAAAAAGAATTTTAAAGTTTGATGTGTTGCCACGGCAACAGTATCAAAGATATCAAGAATCCATTCACAGGTCTACATCTGGCGTATGTTTACATTATACAGATGAAGTTTGAAGCAAATTGGGTTAAAATAAGAGGGTGATTTCGAAGCATTTTGAAAGTGACACACTTCCTGCTGCCAGTTGGTGGCGCTATAACTTTGACTCACAATAGTCACATCCATGTGATCGGCCTCTTACAGCGAACACACTGGTGAAGTTTCATCAAGATCAGTTAATGTATGCAGAAGTTATAACACACTTCCTGTTTCACGTTTCTCGCCATAATTTCGTTTCCCCGCCACGGCCAAACCGTTCGAGATATCAAAAATCCCCTCGCAATTTTTCATCCTCAATGTCTTGACTTCATGCTGACCGAGTTTCGAGGCATTTCTTTGAATTCTCTAGGAGAAGTACTTTAAATTCCATTGCATGCGTTTTACAAACAACCCTAAATAGCCGACTTCCTGTTGGGCTGGGGTAAAAAGTAAGAGCATGAAGTATATATGAACCGATGAGATCTATATGTGTACCGAGTTTCATATTCTTACATACAAGCGTGTTTGATTTATGGACCAAGTTTTCGGACCCCGTTCCAGGGGGCGCTGTCGAGCCCCCCTGCCACGCCCGGGTACCATCTTCACCCCGACCCTGATGGCCGCGGGTTCTGACCCGCGTGCAAAGTTTCAAGAGTTTTCGTGCACGTTAAGAGCCCCAAAAGTGCCCGAATAGTCGTAAGAAAAATAAAAGAGGAAAAAAAAAAAAAAAAAAAAAATAATCCTAAGGAAAACAATAGGGCCTTCGCCCTTTGGGCTTGGGCCCTAATAATCCTAAGGAAAACAATAGGGCCTTCGCCCTTTGGGCTTGGGCCCTAATAATAAATAATCCTAAGGAAAACAATAGGGCCTTCGCCCTTTGGGCTTGGGCCCTAATAATAATCCTAAGGAAAACAATAGGGCCTTCGCCTTTTCAAGGCTTGGGCCCTAAATAGAAAATAGTTCAAGGGACTAAATGTTAAAACGGCATGCCACGTGATGATTGGGTGATCGTATAGCAACTGGACGCCGCTCGCGCTCGCGCTCGTCCGAATCTCACGTCTCAAATTCCGTGTTGAGTTGCAAGCTCAAGGATTCACACGGTCTATACTTAGCTCTCCTAAACGTCAAAGTCTGCTGCAAGACACGAACTGTTTTTTAGTGTGACGTGATATATTTTTAAAGCTCTAAACGCTTTCTTGAAATCATTTGAAGGCTGAAAGATTGTTTAAATGTATTTTTTAGGATAATCAACTGAAGAGTTTGATTTAAAATGCGAGAAAATGAGGATGTTGAGCCCAGTAATGTTTAAGAAACCGTGATAATAAAGAAGAGAAGAGAAACGTGGGACAAGGAAGCGATTTCAAAGAGTCGATTTATGAATGCATCGGTCAGCTACAGCTGTGCGTGAACTGTGAAAATGACAATGAGAATGATTTCATTTTTGGCTCTCAGCATCTTTTTTATTCAAGGTAAGTTATAAAAACAGGCAAGAGTGAAATTATTTAAAATGATACAATTATTTCGAGGCCATTATACAAATCATTATACAATTATTGGAGTGGATAATTAACATATTAGTACAGTCATCAGATGTTAGCCTATATTTGTCATTATTTATTAGGCTATATAGACTGCATTAATAAAATCCCTCGTTAAGTCGTATGCTGCTAGTGTTAGTCTCTCCATGTAAGATCCTGTACATTTATCTTTAGATTTATTGCTCAGTAACGTTTTCAAAATATTAAAATTGAAGATGCATGATAAGCAAAGAAAGAAAATATTATATATATAGCCTATATACACTCACCGGCCACTTTATTAGGTACCCCATGCTAGTAACGGGTTGGACCCCCTTTTGCCTTCAGAACTGCCTCAATTCTTCGTGGCATAGATTCAACAAGGTGCTGGAAGCATTCCTCAGGGAGTTTGGTCCATATTGACATGATGGCATCACACAGTTGCCGCAGATTTGTCGGCTGCACATCCATGATGCGAATCTCCCGTTCCACCACATCCCAAAGATGCTCTATTGGGTTGAGATCTGGTGACTGTGGAGGCCATTTTAGTACAGTGAACTCATTGTCATGTTCAAGAAACCAATTTGAAATGATTAGAGCTTTGTGACATGGTGGAAGTAGCCATCAGAGGATGGGTACATGGTGGCCATAAAGGGATGGACATGGTCAGAAACAATGCTCAGGTAGGCCGTGGCATTTAAACGATGCCCAATTGGCACTAAGGGGCCTAAAGTGTGCCAGGAAAACATCCCCCACACCATTACACCACCACCACCAGCCTGCACAGTGGTAACAAGGCATGATGGTTCCATGTTCTCATTCTGTTTACGCCAAATTCTGACTCTAACATCTGAATGTCTCAACAGAAATCGAGACTCATCAGACCAGGCAACATTTTTCCAGTCTTCAACTGTTCAATTTTGGTGAGCTCTTGCAAATTGTAGCCTCTTTTTCCTATTTGTAGTGGAGATGAGTGGTACCCGGTGGAGTCTTCTGCTGTTGTAGCCCATCCGCCTCAAGGTTGTGCGTGTTGTGGCTTCACAAATGCTTTGCTGAATACCTCGGTTGTAACGAGTGGTTATTTCAGTCACTGTTGCCCTTCTATCAGCTCGAACCAGTCTGGCCATTCTCCTCTGACCTCTGGCATCAACAAGGCATTTCCGCCCACAGAACTGCCGCTCACTGGATGTTTTTTCTTTTTCGGACCATTCTCTGTAAACCCTAGAGATGGTTGTGCGTGAAAATCCCAGTAGATTAGCAGTTTCTGAAATACTCAGACCAGCCCTTCTGGCACCAACAATCATGCCACGTTCAAAGTCACTCAAATCAACTTTCTTCCCCATACTGATGCTCGGTTTGAACTGCAGGAGATTGTCTTGACCATGTCTACATGCCTAAATGCACTGAGTTGCCGCCATGTGATTGGCTGCTTAGAAATTAAGTGTTAACGAGCAGTTGGACAGGTGTACCTAATAAAGTGGCCGGTGAGTGTATAATTGTATCAAGATGTTCTTCAGTCTTGAGGATCTAGCCTGCAAAATGTTCCACTGCCATAACATCTTTGCGTAATGCATCTGAACTAATAATCTTGCATCTCTTTATCTTGATTGTTCAAAATGTCTAATTTTAGTGCCACAAGGTCAAACTGGATGTGCTGAAGTGGATTCCATGACAGAGGCTGTGGCTGGAGAGAGCTTTCTGTTGGGTTGCATTTCCTGCAAAAAAAGAGCAGAAGTGCCAGGTTCTGCTATTGTGGAGTGGCACTTCAAACCAGCTGGAACTGAGGAGTATATCCATGTTAGTACGGAGATTATATGGACCAGAAAGCCTGTTGTCAGGTTGTTCGGTCAGCTTGACATATTTTACACTCTTAAAAATAACGGTTCCGAAAGGGAAGTTTCGAGCAATTTCAAACCATTTTGGGTTCCTCAAAGAACCTTGAAATTCAGTGAACAGTTCTTAAAAGAACCATTTTTTTTGGAAGAACATGCAAGAGTGTGTAATGGAAAAGTTCCATCAATGCCAACTAAGCACCTTTATTTTTAAGAGTGCACAACAGAGTAGAACACTAATCAGTTTAAATGAACTGAAAAAAATCTTTAAAGACACGTTTAAATCTTTACATGGTTTTATGAGTAATATCTCTGTCCCTATCAGATTTTCCAGTATGAATATCCTTTCCCCACTATTCTTCATGAAAACTTTGAGGGAAGATTAGAGTGGCAAGGGACTATGTGGACAAAGGATGTGCAAATTGGTGCCATCTTCATTCACAATGTCACATATAATGACACTGGGAGTTACCGCTGTACCTTCTACCGAACGCTGTACCTTTCTTTGAATGAGGAGCACGTGATAATAAACAAAGAGGTGGAACTCACAGTTGTAGAAAAGGGTGAGACTCATTCAAATTCCACTCACAGGTGACAGATTTGCATTTCAACTAGTGATTTGAATATGCGAATTTGTTGCTCCCCCAGCCAACCCCGAGCTGACGACTGTAATCTCTGAGATCATGATGTACGTGTTGATCGTAGTCCTGCAGTTGTGGATGATTGGAGTGCTGATTTACTGCTATAAGAAGATCTACGCTGAGAACGAAGCTCGAGAGGCCAGAAAAGCTGCACGCTCTCAAAACAAGTAAGGTTTACTTTTTTTGCACCATTGCCATATACACTGGCAGTCAAAAGTTTGGAATAATTAAGATGTTTTAATGTTATGCTCTCCCAGGCTGCATTTGTTTGATATAACACAGTATGTAATATTGTGAAATATTATTACAATTTAAAATGAATGTTTTCCATGTTAATATATTTTAAAATGTAATTTATTCCTGTGATGCAAAGCTGAATTTTCAGCATCATAACTCCAGTCTTGAGTGTCACATGATCCTTCATAAATCATTCTTATATGCTGATTTGGTGCTCAAGAAACATTTCTTGTTATCAATGTTGAAAACAGCCATTTTTCCATTAAAAGTTTAGGGTAGCATATTAACTTTTTATCTTTTTTTAAAGAAAGAAAGAAATTAATAATTGTATTAAACAACGACACAAATTGATTCAAGTGACAGTAAATAATATAATCTTATAAAATATTTCTATTTAAAAAAAAAATAACTTTCTAATATTAATTGATAATAATTGAGCACTAAATCAGCATATTGGAATGATCATGTGACACTGAAGACTGGAGTAATGATGCAGATTTGGCATCACGGGAATAAATTATATATTAAAATATAAAACATTTATTTTAAAATGTAATATGGTTCACAATTTTAGAAGAGCAGAAGAGACTTTTTTTTTTAAAATGATTCCAAACTTTTGACTGACGGTGTATAAAGATATTTATACCTTTCTGATTCAAAATGTAATTTTGTCATCTTTTTTCCCAGATTTATTGACTTGAAGGACCCTTGTGGTGGTGTGTATTTGGAATAACTACAGTTTTGGTTAGTAGGCTTATTCATTTTCAGTTAATAGACACTATAGGTTCACTACGTTAATGCTATAACATAGATCTATATTTTTACAAACCTCTGTGTATTTCTAGGGACATTTCTAGCATTGCATTGGCTAAGGTAAAGCAGAATGCAGAATGATTCATATACCATGGTAATAAATCAGGTACAACATTGTATCAACTAGACATTAAACCTATGCAAGGTTGAATCAGGAATATAAAGAGTCAGAATAAACAGACTTCTGAAATTAAAAGGGTTTGTAGAAAAGAAACAAACATCTGGTTTCTTGACTTGGTTGTTTATTGACTGGTGATTAAAAGATGACTAATTGAAGACAATTTATGTTTTAATCATCACAATTAAGATGTAATGGTTTTTGTTCTACCAAGCAAGATTTTGGACCTGATTTTATGACAGGTTGTCTGATTGAAAAAAAAACCCCAATAAACAAAGCAGAGGAAACAACATCCAAACTTAGCTGCTTTTGCAGTATGTGATAAAAAGCCTATTTTTAAAACAATGGACATTTAAATTTAAAGTAAAAAAGTAAAAAAAATTCATTATCTCCGAGCCTCAAGGTCTTGAATTAGGTAGACATTTGACTTCTTGAGAGCTTCATATAAAAGATCTTTCCCTGTAGAGCCAACTGATTTAATTAGGAGCATTAAAACTCTCATCCTTGCTTGTGGGGTTTTCTCAGCACGAATGGTGCAGCAATCCTCGTCTGTGATGACTTTCTTCTGACGAAGTTCATCTAGGATGGGTTCCACATTAGGAACTCGTTTTATCAGCTCTATTTCATTCCCATCGATGAAGTGTTCCGCTATGAACGAGATGTAAACGTGCATGTGGTCAGATTGTGAGGATACTGATGATGGAGTTCATATTAATATTTTTTACTTGGTCATATATGAAGTTATGAATGCACTTTGAAGTTATGAATGTTTATTAGGTTATAAATAAACACCCTATTTGTCTTCACCAAAGAGTGGAGAGATTTAAAACCTACCTTACCAACCTAGACTTACTCACCCTTAGATGGAGCCCTCGGGCCTGGTTGAGGAACAACTGGAGCTACTGAAAAACAAGCGGAAGTTGATGATTCTCTTGCTGCAAAAAATCCCACGTTTCACATTCAAACCTTAGTGTGCACAACAAACTATAGCCTACATGGATTGGGATATTAATGAAGAATTTAGCTTATTATTACATTATATAGCCTAACTGGCCATTCCCAGTCCTTAAGATTACTATTCTCTTCTTCAAAAATTGCAATCAAGTGTTTAATGGGCGTTACACGGAGGAAACTGAAAGTAAAATTAAGTTCAAGTCTAGAGTGGCCTACAAATAGAAATAGGAATCGTAAATAATTTAACGAATTCTCCTTTCGATTCTGCTTCTATTTAACGAATTAGTGGGCTACTTTTGGGGAACAATTATTTGCACACACAAAAACAAAATGCAATTTGCAAGAAAAACCTCTCCGTTTTACTTTTAACCCTTTAAGGTACTACTCAACCATTTGGTAGACCACACTTAAAGTCACTCTATTTTATTGAAAAATGCATCAAGCTTAACTCAACCTGAATGAGCCATCTCTACCGTTTGGTGTAGTTGTGCAATGATAAAAAAAATCCACTAGATGGCACTGTGTCTGTGAGCAGCATGCCATTTCAGTGTTCCTTCAAACAGCACATGACACAGCGAAAATTTGCTCCTCCTTTGATGACGCATATCGGCGGGACTTTTAAAGGTAAGACTATTTGGTTGACATATTATCGTTTCAGAGGAGTTGTTAAACAGAATTATGTAACTTAATTAAACAAAAATAAGTCTTATAAGGGTCAAATAATTTTTTTTAAACATGCTCTACCAAACGGTTGAGTTGTCCTTTTAAGGTAGTAAAAATTAGCTAATAAAATTAGCTAATGTTGGTAAAATTAGCTATTTACAATGAACAAAAGGGTTAGTGTTGTTAAAATGATTAATTTTAATATTATTCAATTACATATTTGATAAAAAATATTTGATCAATATCATTTTTTCAGCATTTCTGTACTGTATTATGGTAAATATCAAGAATACATTTGAAGAATTAATACCAATTCTGGTGTTACTATTAATTTCATAATTTAAAATTGACTATGTTTGTGTATTACTATATGACTAGCATTGTAAGAGCCATCAATAGCAGCCATCAGATTTTTTTATTGGTCAAGAAAATGCACTTAATATGACTTGTTCTTAATGTTGTTCTTTTATTATGAACAGACGTCTCAACCGTTTGGTAGAGGATTGTATCTAAAATACTGTAAGGTCTAATTAAATTTTTTTTTTGATTGTTGTTATTGTTATCATAATTGAATAAAAAATGCAAAGAAATAATTTTTCCTTTGCTTTTTTCATGGTGCGTACCTTAAAGGGTTAATGGAACCGGTTCTAGTTTCCAACTAGGCTACTTATAATTATTAAATCTTGAAAAAGTGCACTCTTCTCCTATTTTTGGTTTCTTATGTTTCAGGCAGTTTCTTCACCAAGGAAAATAAAATAATAATAATAATAATAATAAAAAAGCTTCGGCCTTGACTTTGTCTACTCTATCGATTAAAAACAGTTTACTTACCGTCTCTCGTTTTCTCTCTGAACTCCTCTGCCAATTTATTTTCTTTAATAGCCGTTAAAACTTCGATTGTTACAGGAACAGCGCCTGTCGATGTGAAAGTGTTCACCATTACATCGGCGAGATCTAGAGCGTCTTTAATTTTGTCGATTGTAGCTTGTCGTACAATCGGTTCTTCCGTCCGATCGCGCAATTTGATTTTAAACTTTTTTAGCTTTTCCTCCCCCAGATCCTCAAAAGTATCCTCCAGGTGTTCCTTAATGGTCTTCACCATGGTTCCTCAAAGTTTCGTGGCTCTTCTACGGACAGTATGAACCGCTGCAAAAGAGACCTCCTGTTTTGAGCCGAGATGAAGAATGTGTGTCTTTAGACTTTCAGCCTGACATTTACATTGAACGTTTCCTTCCTCGTTTCATAACCACTGTCTTGTAAATACTGGGGTACAAGAGAGTGCATACTTTGGTATGTTTAATTCATTTTCAGTGACCGATTTGAGGTTTTCTCTGTGAACCTCATGTGATCCACACTCCTAAAACCGTTGATAGTTTAACAGTATTGTTGGAAACTAATGCAGCCGCTTTACTTCAATGCCAGGCCAGTCATAAACTTCAGGTAGCATTTATTTTGTCAGAAAGTACTTTGCAGTTTACACCGGTTGGACACCGGTTTAGTTACAATGTCTAAAAACCTTTTTTTTTTTTTTTTTTTAAGTGTTATCCTGCTATCCTTATTGTATTATTTAAAGGTGCTCTATGTATTTTTTAGCGGCCTCTAGCGGTGATGTTTCAGATTGCAACAAGAGGGCTCGTGCTCCTGTGCGTGTGCGTGCTCGATCTCAAGAGCGAGCATTCACTACCGGCCACGCGGAGACTTTCAACGCAACGGGGAAAGCATCACACAACATGCTGGAAACTCATGTAAACTCCCACTGCAACGTTACAATAATAGGCTACTTTTATCAGCTTGACGTTGAACTAATGCTCCATGCACGTACCATGATAACGTTATTGACTGCATTTAGCCGACATGTGATGTTATCTAGCATAAGGCATTTCACTAACTATTCGTGTATCTTTCACAATCAGCAATGTCAACATAGGTGAATGTAGGCTATAATATGATAACGAAAACGGTGAACTAGACTGAACAATGTCAGTGTAACATTAAGACAGTAAGTAACATTACTGTAGGCTACTGAACGTGTCTGGAAATGTTTATTATAAACAATATGATAGTAGTCGGATGAGTAACGTTAGACAGATCTAGTACATAAAATAAGTTACATCCTAAAGCACCTACTTTTTGCTATCCTGGAACAGTCTTTTGTATTAATTTCATGTCTCATGTAATTTACCTTGCTATTTCATTAGAGTTTACTAATAATTCAAAAGCTCTGCCGATGTTGATCCGTGTTTTCGTCCTGAGTCGATCAGAATCACGTTTGGCCTGATGAGCTTCAGCAGATAAAACTTTTTTTTGTTTGTTATATTTTTGTGGAGTTTGTGTTGGAGTCTGTGCTGTGCTGGAGGCAGGTCGTTTTGGCGTGTTATCAGACTCCATGTCGTCAGCTGCAGTGCCGTCGTATACTGTATATAAGGAGAGAGGCTCGGGAGCGCGCATGCACGTCACATCCGATGGATTTCGCGGTAAATCCGACCCGGAGACTTCACATATAAATATGAATATTGGCCTTCAGAGGTAATAGCAAAACCCGACAAGTGGATCATTGTAATGTGTGATTACAACCCCTTCACACACAGGCAATAAAAAAGGATTCATTTTAGAAGAAAAGCTAGAGCACCTTTAATGTAATGACATTTATTATAGCTAGCTTTTATAAATATAACATTAGCAAAACCATTTATTTTAAATGACATTTGTCTCAACTGTGTAAATATTCCTGATGTATCATATTTGATAATCACTATTTAACATGATTTTTTTCTAAAAAGTGATAACCTAGATAAAAGTAACCTAACTGAATTTTCTTCATTCCAGGAAGTGTTTATTTATAAATATTACTAATATAAAAGTTATTCTTATGTTTAAAAATCAGTAAAGATTTCGCAAAAGGACACATGTGCCACAAACTGAAGGGGGATGTTTTTAGAATTAGACTAAAAGGTATTTTACTTGTTAAAAAGTATCAATCAGAGGACAGAAGCATGTGATTTTTTCAGCACGGTTTTGATCATGATGATAATTCAAGGGCCTTAGAAATTTTCAGTAGGTTATACAGTAGGTTACCTTTATTTACAAGATAAAGTATTGTTTGTGTGAAAATACATTTGCGAATTATTATGTATTACAGGTTTTCTCCTCAGAGGAAATGCAGCTAAAACATTTAAGTAAATTCCTTTGTAAATTGAAAAAGTTGTTTAATTAAGGTTTTTCTTTTTTTTTAAAGAACTATTTTTTCAGACATCTGGAAAGACTTTTTTGGATTTGCTGGAGATGCAAAGGCACATAAAGGGTCTAAAGAATTCACAGACGAGGAGAGAAATGCATGTACAATCAGAGTCCAGGGAACAGGTAGAACAACTTTGCCATCGATGCTCTGTCTTTACATGCCATTTGCCTGAAGCTCCCGGGCATATCTGAACTGTCAAAACGTTTAATAACCTGTAAAAGGAGAACATAAACATCTGTGGCATGCACGAAAGTAACGTTTGAATGGCAATGTACACACAGATTTTTTTTTTGACCCTTTCAAAGGAACATAATTCACACAAGTTGCTCTTGCAGAAGCATGTGATTTACCTTCCTGAATAATTCCTCAATGTGATCCTTGTGTGCATCTTTCGTGAACACATCCACTATGTATTGCACATAAAAAGTTCCATTCTGCACATGCCTGTAAGATTTGGTTTCTGTAGGAAAAAATCATTAGTTAGGATCTTTCAGACTTTCCTCAATAATGAAATGGATATTGTGTACTTTTCACGCTTATACTAGTTTTACACTGAGAAACATCTTCAAATAATAATAAATAAAGTTCAGTTGAATGCAAATGAGCTATTTTATATAAAATAAATAATTTTTCACTCTTATACACTAATTCTACACTCTTAAGTGTTTTATATAGGGGTCCATGTGGTTTTATATAGAACCGTTGGGTTCATGACTCAATTTGAAAGAAAACTCTTTACCCGGGGTACAGGACATCAGAGAAATGAAGTCTTTCTCCTTGTGCACAAAGTCATCGCCCTCTATTTCCACTGGCTCATCAGGCTCCCCGTCACTGGCCCACACGCGGCCATGCTCCCCTGAACAGAGATTTGGTTAAGAGTGTGTCAGCCTTCTTCAAATAGGACTACAATCAATGGCGAGTTAATAATATACAATGATGTCCTGAGAATTCAACAATAAACAATTGTATTTTTAGTCATTTTCATACCTCCCCTGCAGGCTTGGATAAGAATAACCTTTGGTTTATTACGCAGAGCCGGACAATTCTTAGAGTTCAGATGACGGTAGATATCATCAACAGGGAAAGTATCAGAGGGGTTGTCTATTGTATGATAATGGACACCCAAAATGGTATTCCTCTTTCCGTGGGACATTATAACCACAAAGGTGCTGTCTGAACGTGCATGTTCCTCACGCCGTGCAAAGTTCTCGACTGCTTTCTTCATGTCCTGCCAAACAAATAAACTCCATTAATTAAATCAAGAGTACAATTACAATTAGAAAAACATATTAGCTTAAAGGAGTGGTTCACTTTTTAAAAAACTTTTGCTGATATTTTACTCGCCCCCATGTCATCCAAGATGTCCATGTCTTTCTTTCTTCAGTCGAAAAGAAATGAAGGTTTTTGATGAAAACATTCTAGGATTTTTCTCCATATAATGGACTTCATTGGGTATCAAATGACAGTGTCAGTGCAGCTTCAAATGGCTTTAAATGACGCCAGACGATGCATAAGGGTCTTATCTTGCGAAACGATAGGTCATTTCAAAAATAAATAAAAAAGTTTAAGTTTTATAAGCACAAATGCTCGCCTTGCTCTGTTCTGTAATGCACGTTCGTGACTCTCCTGTTCGAACTCGTTCATCAAAATGAACGAATCTTTTTTCGAGTCATTTCGTTCATTCAACGAACAAAATGACTCGAAAAAAGATTTGTTAATTTTGAACGAGTCTTTTTTCGAGTCATTTCGTTCGTTTAAACCCATTTGAAGCTGCACTGAAACTGTCATTTGGACCTTGAACCGTTTGGTACCCAATGAAGTCCATTATATGGAGAAAAATCCTAGAATGTTTTCATCAAAAACCTTCATTTCTTTTCGACTGAAGAAAGAAAGACATGGACATCTTGGATGACATGGGGGTGAGTAAATCATCAGCAAAAGTTTTTTAAAAAGTGAACTACTCCTTTAAGTTCAAAGTTTAAAAAATATATATATATATATGTTCCATCTGGATCATTTTCTCTACAAGCAGTAAAAAACTATAATTTCATAAGATGTGACTTCAAATGACTTAAAAGTATGCACCTCTGCAGAGACATTGGTGTACTTGACAACTTGATAATCCAGCTCCTTTAACAGCCATTCCATGTTCTCTTCATCTCTCTCTGCCCCTCTCCTGGTCATAGCCTTATCATCAAAATCTCTGTTGTTGATAAGCAGGGCAAGACGCGTTCTTTCAAGCTTGTCTTTTGCTTCATAAATCTAAGAAAAACAACCAAGAGATATTAATGCAGAATTTAACCACAACTAATACAATGGCAATCTAGAGCAACTGTCATGCAATAGTAACATTAGCGTCGTATCATTAGTAAGACTACTGATGTGTAGGTGATTTATTAACATGACTAAATTGAACTATTTTACTTTTTCCTGGTAATGTTTTATGAATAGATTAATACTTGTTTAATACTTGCCTCTTGCCCATTTTCTTCAAGTATTTTCTTTTTAAATGGTTGGCTGCACGGAGTAACCTGCGATTCTCTCTGCCAATCATCTGACTGTGGTTGCCTAACCTTCAAGCCTAGAAAACACAACACAGCTCATGAGCACATCATTCATCATATTCAAACAAACTTGAAACCTGAGATTACAAGTCCCTGTATGCTCAGAAGTTGAGGATAATTGCCTGGAGCTTTGTGAAACGAGTTGTAGAAAACTCGAGTGAATTGTGTATTGTGATATTTTTCTTAAGTTAAATGTCATTTTCTTCACCAAAGAGCAGGGGTGTAACGATACCCTCATACATATACATACATATCACGAAACTGAACTCACGATATTATTGCGATACTCCAAGACAGATGGTAAAAGGTCAACAAAAAAAAAATAACTTGATTAAAATGCTAAATTTGGTTTTACATTGGGTGTGGAAATGAATAGGCTTAGACTTGGTGCTAGTAACTCAATGCACAGGACAATGTTGAAACCAGAATAAAAATATTGATGATTCTGAAGCTGAAAATACAGAATTATTTTAGCAAACATGCTTGCACTCTGTCACTGACTAGATATATTTAAAATAATGTAGGCCACTTTTTACTGGTAACATAAGACATTTGGCATTATCAGGAACCACAACTATTCATTGCATTAGTAATTATATTCAATATTATGTACAGTATAGTTTAATGTAGTACTGATACTAAAACTCTGTAAACTTGAATTTTTTCTTACAGTAATTTTTATTTTTGGTGAACTATACAATACATATTGTCACTATCCACAATACATATTGTTGCATTTTTGTATTGTGATATATTGTTACACGAATTATTGTTACACCCCTACCAAAGAGTGAAGAGATTTAAAACCCACCGTACCAACCTAGACTTACTCACCATCAGATGGAGCCCTCGGGCCAGGAGGACCAACTGGAGCTACTGAAAAACAAGAGGAGGTTATAGGGTTAGTTCACCCAAAAATGAAAATTTTGTCTTTAATTACTTAGCCTACTTAATTACTACTTACATGTCGTTCCAAACCCGTAAGATCTTCGTTCATATTCGGAACACAAATTAAGATATGTTTTATGAAATCCGAGAGCTTTCTGACCCCATATATGGGTTATTAACACTTTCAAGGCCCAGAAAGGTAGTAAAGACATAATTAAAATGTAGTCCATGTAACTACAGTGGTTCAACGTGAAGTTAACTTTTCTTCTCTTCCGTGTCTGACATTGTTCACGTGAGCACCACGAAGCATGCGTATGGTGCTGACGCCTGCCAATACTGTTTACAACGTGAACACCATCACAGACTGACACGGAAAAGAAGAAATTGTTGAATACATTTTTTTTTTTTTTTTTTGCACAAAAAGTATTCTCGTCGCTTTATAACATTAAGGTTTAACCACTGTAGTCACATGGACTATTTTACCATGTCTTTACTACCTTTCTGGGTCTTGAAAGTGGTAACGTTGCAGTCTAGTGGGGTCAGAAAGCTCTCGGATTTCATCAAAATATCTTAATTTGTGTTCCGAAGATGAACAAATGTCTTACGGGTTTGTAACGACATGAGGGTGAGTAATTAATGACAGAATTTAATTTTTTGGGTGACTAACCCTAATGATTCTCTTACTGCAAATCTCCACATTCCACATTCAAAACTCAATGTGCACAACTATACATGGATTGGGATTTTAATGAAGAATTCAGCTGTAATTATTATAATTACTGATTATTTAACTGGCCTTTCTCCGTCCTTATTATTCTCCTCTTCAAAATATTGTAATCAAGTGTTTAATGGGCGTTACACTGAGGAAATTGAAATTAAAACTGAGTTCTAGTCTAGAGTAGGCTACAATTAAATAAGACTTGTAAATAATGTAAGGATCTTGCTTTCGATTCTGAATTCTTAACGAATCTTTTAGTAGGCTACTTTTGGGAACAATTATTTGCAACAACAACAACAAACAAAAAGAGAGAGAGAGAGAGAGAGAGAGAGAGAGAGAGAGAGAGAGAGAGAGAGAGAGAGAGAGGGGAGAGGGAGAGAGAGAGAGAGAGAGAGAGAGAGAGAGAGAGAGAGAGAGAGAGAGAGAGAGAGAGAGAGAGAGAGAGAGAGAGAGAGAGAGAGAGAGAGAGAGAGAGCTGAAATCCTTTCAGCTTCACTTGTAAATGGAGCCGGTCCTACATTCTGAAGAACTGGTTTTAGCTTTCCAACTATTTATAGGCTTATTAATAAAAATTCATAATACATAACTTTGTTAAAGTGCTCTCTTCTCCTAATTTGTGGTTTGTTAAGATTCAGGCAGTTTCTTCACTAACATGATAGAAAACCGGTCTAGTCAAGGCGAGAGCGGGGCACAACGTAACGCTTGTTGACTTTCTCAGTTTGTGTAAATCTACTTAGGGTTTAGAGTATTTATTTTTTCCCACACTTTCTTCTGACAAACTTCATCTAGGATGGGGTCCACATTATGAACTCATTTTATCAGCTCTGTTTCATTCCTATCGATGAAGTGTTCTGCTATGAACGAGATGTAAACATGCATGTGGTCAGATTGTGAGGATACTGATGATGGAGTTCATATTAATATTTTTAATTTGGTCATATATGAAGTTATGAACGCACTTAAGTTTATTAGGTTATAAATGAACACCCTAATTGTCTTCACCAAAGAGTGGAGAGATTTAAAACGAATCGGTTACCTAACGTAACCTCGGTTCTCTCTAGAAGAGGGAACGAGTATTGCGTAAGCTAGCTTACGCTGCGGGAAAGATTCATCTTTGCTGAGATATTGAAGCCAAAAATTATTTCATAATTTGTATCCATACACAACGCAGTTCCTCTGCGGCAGACCTAGAGCAGGCTAGCTAGCAGCTCATTGGTTCGCTCAGAGAGAACTGCTTAAGCCTATGGGAGAGCGGGGCTGAACCCGCTTCCAATGAGAGGCGCCCGCGCGCTCATTGCGTCATGGCCCGCCAGAATGGGCGTGGCTATGGTGTATATAACAGTCTCTCCCAGGCTTATATGTTGATTTATTTCAGCGTGAAGTGAAACGCTAGTAGCGCAAGCACGGCCGGGAACGCAATACTCGTTCCCTCTTCTAGAGAGAACCGAGGTTACGTTAGGTAACCGATTCGTTCTCTTACGAGAGGTTCTCTCGTATTGCGTAAGCTAGCTTACGCTGCGGGAACACCTGGTCAACGCCGTGCGCGCTATGAATCCACTCATGAATCCCAGGGTGATACCGGGGGATTTTTAACGTGGAGTGAATGTATTATGAGGCCGGCAGAGCGGGCACATGAAGTGTATAAGCATTTAAGGAGAGCACAAGGGGCGAACCGGTTGTGTGAGGGACTCCCAGTAATGCAGCTTCTTAGGGAGCTGGTCGTTTAGACAGCTAGTAATTTTGCCTGCAAGGCGGGAACTTCCAAGTTGTAAAACCTGACAAAAGTGGACGGGGAGGCCCATCCCGCGGCCACACAGATGTCATGAATGGAAATTCCACAGGACCATGCCCACGATGAGGCCATGCCTCTAGTGGAGTGCGCCCTGATGCCCAGAGGGCAGGGCAGGCATTTAGATGCGTAAGCAGAGGCGATAGCGTCCACTATCCATCTAGACAGTGTCTGTTTAGAGGCGGCCAGACCTTTGGTGCGCCCCCCAAACGACACGAAAAGCTGCTCAGCGCGTCTGAACACGGCAGCGCGCGAAGTGTACAATCTCAGAGCCCGCACCGGGCAGAGGAGATTGGCGTCGCGCTCACTATCGGATGAAGGCAGAGCCGATAGGGAAATAATCTGAGCCCTGAACGGGGTACCAATCGCCTTCGGGACATAGCCATGTCTAGGTTTGAGAATGACAACAGAATCATTCGGACCAAACTCGAGACACGCGGCGCTGGATGAGAGCGCGTGAAGATCCCCCACGCGTTTTACTGAGGACAGAGCCGTCAGAAAATCGGTTTTGAGCGAGAGGTATTTTAGGTCCACAGACTCGAGCGGTTCGAACGGGGGTGCTTTCATAGCTTCGAGAACTATAGAAAGATCCCAGATAGGAACCGAAGGGGGGCGCGGAGGGTTCATCCTCTTAGCTCCCCTGAGGAAGCGGATGACTAACTCGTCTTTGCCCAGGGACTGAGCGCGTCGGGGTTCAGAGAACGCCGCGACGGCTGCCACGTAAACCTTGAGAGTGGAGGGGGACCTGCCCTTGTCCAGCATCTCTTGAAGGAAAACAAGCAAAGACGGCACCTCGCATGACCGTGGGTCCAGATGTTTGTCGGTGCACCATTTTGAGAACACAGACCATTTAGACGCATAGAGCCTTCTCGTGGAAGGTGCTCTAGCCTGTATGATAGTGTTTCTTACTCCTTCTGGCAAATCAACGAATAGTCGTTGATCACCCATGCATGTAGCGCCCAGTGCCGTGGATGGGGGTGCCAGATCGTGCCGCGAGCCTGAGAGAGGAGATCTGCTCTGACTGGGATGGGCCACGGGGCTGTCTGCGACAGCTGAGTGAGCTCCGGAACCCAATTCTGACTCTCCCAACGCGGGGCTATGAGGAGCACCGAGTGGCGTGTGTCCCTGATCCTCTGAATTACCTGTGGTAGCAGAGCGATCGGAGGGAATGCATAGAGCGGGCGGCGAGGCCATTCCTGGGCTAGCGCGTCCTCGCTCCTTGAGAAAAATATTGGGCAGTGAGCGTTCTCTTCTGACGCGAAGAGGTCCACTTCTGCTCTGCCGAATAGCCGCCACAGTATTTGGACCGTTTGTGTGTTCAGGGACCATTCTCCTGAGGAGATGAGGTTCCTGGACAGTATGTCTGGGCCGTCGTTCAGATGGCCCGGCACATGCGTCGCTCTGAGCGAGAGCAGGCGGCTCTGAGACCAAACTAAAATGCGGTGTGTCAGTAGGAAGAGATTCCTGGACCTGACACCGCCCTGACGGTTGAGATAGGAGACCACAGCCATGTTGTCCGAACGGATCAGGACGTGGTGTCCCCGAATGAGCGGGAGGAAGCGCGAAAGCGCGTTCTCGACCGCAAGCATTTCCAGACAGTTTATGTGTAAGGGGCTTTCCTGTGTCGACCAATGGCCGAAGGCCGGTGAGCCCTCGCAGACTGCACCCCAACCCGTGTTGGATGCATCTGTCGAGATGACTTTTCGGCGAGAAAAGGTCCCCATCGTGACGCCTTGTCGAAACCATTCTGCTACTGTCCATGGCTGCAGCGCCGTGAGACATGTCTGCGTAACTCTGATCAGCTGGCGGCCCGTGTTCCACGCGCGGTGGGGTACACGGCTGTTTAACCAAAGCTGAAGCGGACGCATGTGCAGAAGGCCCAGCTGAAGCACAGCGGAGGCTGAGGCCATGTAACCCAGCATCCTCTGAAACGTTTTCAGAGGTGAGCGGGTGCCCATCTGAAACGAGGCGGCCAGTCGCTGTACACTGCGCGCGCGCTGTGTAGACAGGCGAGCCGTCATCGTGACCGAGTTCAAATCTATTCCTAGAAAGGAAATCGATTGACTGGGTTGAAGGGAGCTCTTTGTCCAGTTGACAGAGAGGCCCAGCGTTTTCAGATGGTCGAGGAGAACTGCGCGGTGCGACAGAAGCTCCGTCTGTGATTGGGCCAAAATCAGCCAGTCGTCCAGATAATTCAATATGCGCAGCCCCTGGCTCCGCAGGGGGGCGAGCGCCGTATCCATGCACTTCGTAAATGTGCGGGGCGCCAGAGATAAGCCGAACGGGAGAACGGCGTATTGATAAACATGACCCTCGAAGGCGAAACGTAAGAATGGCCTGTGACGGGGATTTATCTGGATCTGAAAATAGGCGTCTTTCAGGTCTAGAGAGATGAACCAGTCCCCCTGACGCACCTGCGCGAGGAGTTTCCTGGTAGTGAGCATCTTGAACGGTCTCTTCATGAGCACTTTGTTCAAAGACCTGAGATCTAAAATCGGTCTGAGGCCGCCGTCTTTCTTGGGAACCAGAAAATAACGGCCGTAAAACCCAGACTCGGTCATAGATGGTGGGACTCTCTCTATGGCGCCCTCTTGCAACAGCGTCGCAATTTCTGAGCGGAGCGTGCCGGCGGCCAGCGGGCTGACAGTAGATTCGAGCCGCGCGCGCGCACGAGGCGGGCGGTGGCGAAACTGTAGCAGATAGCCGTTCTTTATAATGCTTAGCACCCACGGGGAAATGCCTGGAATGGCTTCCCACGCTTTGGAGCATGCGGCTAGTGGCCGAATGGCTATATCGCCCTGATTGCTGCACATAGCGGGCTGGACACAGTGTGTGGGCGCGCTTTGAATGTGTGTGGCAACGGGATTTGCACTCAGAGAGGAGTCTATGGGCCGTGAAACAGAGCGAGCAGAGAGGGGACACGCGCACGAGCTCGTGGGCGTGTTTATGTTCTCTGATATTAGAGCGGGCTGTGCCCGTTTCATGTGATGGGGCTCTGATAGAGACACGGGGTATGTTATGCTTGTGTGTATGGGTGAGCACATGATTGTGGGCACGTTTTCTACACAACTGGCAAATTTTCTCTTTTTGAGATTTCTCTGGGTAGCCGTAAAAACGGCTTTTTGTCGCTCGCAAGCGGGCTGGGACACCGGCTTGTTTGTGGCGGTCAACACTACAGCAGTCGGCGAAATAACGAGGACTGGCAGAGGGCGAAGCTTTGACGGTGGTCCGGCCGCAGCGGGAGAGCACCGTCGTTTTCTTGACTTTGCTAGGCAGACTTCTGATGATCAGGCTTCAGCGTGATCTTAGGTCGCGGGCCTCGTGGGGGCGGCGGTCTGCGGCGGCTGTCAGAGCGAGGGCGGCCGCCCTGTCTGCGCTGGGCTGTTTGAGTCTGCGGAGGGGGGCGCTGTGGTGGAGCTCTGGCAGGAGGCTCGCGAGAGCGGCCCGCGGAAGAGCTAGCGTGGCGGGGCAGAAACAAATTCATCGCCTGAGTAGCTTTCTGGACCTCAGAAAAGCGATCGACGATTCCCGTGACAGCAGATCCAAAAAGGCCCGTCGGGGAGAGGGGCGCGTTAAGAAACGCGGCGCGCTCAGAATCTCCCATGTCGGCGAGCGTGAGCCATAAGTGTCTCTCGGCAACACAAAGGCTGGCCATGCATCTCCCCAGAGCTTGTGCGGCGGCTTTAGTGGCGCGAAGGGCGAGGTCCGTAGCACTTCTCAGATCCGTGACAGCGGGGGAGGGGTTTCTACCGCCTTCGGCCCACTCACGGAGAATATCGCTCTGTAAAACTTGGAGGACAGACATTGAATGTAGCGCTGCGGCGGCCTGACCGGCGGCGGCGTAGGCGCGAGCATGAAAGCTCGAGGTCGCTCTGCAAGCTTTCGAAGGAAGCGCGGGGGAAGAGCGCCATCTAGCAGAGGGCGGGCAGAGGTGTGCGGCGACCAAGTCCTCGACGGGCGGCATGGCTGAGTAGCCTTTCTCGGCGGCTCCGTCCACCGAGCGCAGCGAGGCGGATATATCAGAGCGGTTTCTAGCCGAGAGCGGGGCACTCCAGGACTTCGTCAGCTCTGCGTGAAGTTCAGGCAGGAATGGAGCGGCCCGGTTGCACGCGGGGGTCGAGCGCCGATGAAAAAAGCTGCCGTCCATCCGGTTCGGGGCCTGCTCGGGTGGAGGAGACCACTCGAGACCGAGGCGTTCGACGGCCTGTGCGAGGAGGCGCATTAGTTCCTCCTCTATCCCGGCGCGGATCCCCGCCGATTCTCTCGTGGATCCGAGAGATGACCATTCTTCACTGTCAGAAGCGAGCAGTGAACAGGAGTCCTTCTCCTCCGCGGCGTCATCGGAAGCGACAGAGCGGCCACTCGGCGGCAACTGTATGTCCGGCAGGGGCGGGGAGGGAGAGCGGGAAGCGGGAGGCGGCGGCGGCGGCCCGCATTGTTCCGCTGGGGGCTCCGGCGGCCTCTGGGAGCGGCGTTTTTTCTTACGCGGCGAAGAGGAAGGCGGCGCGGGAGCGGATTTTGCTGCCAGAAGTCGTGCCCGCAGGGACGACAACGGCAGGCTCTCACAGAAGTCGCATCCTCCATCCGCGAGAGCGAGTTCTGCGTGCTCGAGTCCCAGGCAGAGAGCGCAGATGACATGGCGGTCTCCGTCCTCGAGACGAGCGCGGCAAGAGCCGCAGGAAAAACGAGACATCTTTAAAAAGACGCTCGGCTCTTTTAGATATAATAGAGAAGGATACAGTCGTCGGATGGCGCTAGCTTGCAGGGCGGCTGAAGGTGGCGAAGACGGCCGGCTTCTTCAGGGTCCGGGAGCTCGCTAGAGTGATGCCTTTTCGACGGCGACGGCTTTTCTCAGGACAGCAGAAGCGTGCAGCTTGCTGAAGATGAAATGAATCAACATATAAGCCTGGGAGAGACTGTTATATACACCATAGCCACGCCCATTCTGGCGGGCCATGACGCAATGAGCGCGCGGGCGCCTCTCATTGGAAGCGGGTTCAGCCCCGCTCTCCCATAGGCTTAAGCAGTTCTCTCTGAGCGAACCAATGAGCTGCTAGCTAGCCTGCTCTAGGTCTGCCGCAGAGGAACTGCGTTGTGTATGGATACAAATTATGAAATAATTTTTGGCTTCAATATCTCAGCAAAGATGAATCTTTCCCGCAGCGTAAGCTAGCTTACGCAATACGAGAGAACCTCTCGTAAGAGAACCTACCTTACCAACCTAGACTTACTCACCCTTAGATGGAGCCCTCGGGCCTGGTTGAGGACCAACTGGCGCTACTGAAAAACAAAAGGAAGTTGATGATTAATGATTATCTTGCTGCAAATCCCCACGTTTCACATTCAAACCTCAGTGTGCACAACAAAGATTACTAAGATTACTTAAGATTATATTCTCTTCTTCAAAAATTGCAATCAAGTGTTTTAATGGGCGTTACACGGAGGAAACTGAAAGTAAAATTAAGTTCAAGTCTAGAGTGGCCTACAAATAGAAATAGGAATCGTAAATAATTTAACGAATTAGTGGGCTACTTTTGGGGAACAATTATTTGCACACACAATAACAAAAAAGACGGAAAAAAAATTATAATTATTAAATCTTGAAAAAGTGCACTATTCTTCTATTTTTGGTTTCTTAAGTTTCAGGCAGTTTCTTCACCAAGAAAAAGAAAATAATACTATTAATAATAATAATAAAGATTCGGCCTTGGCAACTTTGTCTACTCTATCGATTCAAAACAGTTTACTTACCGTCTCTCGTGTTCTCTCTGAGCTCCTCTGCCAATTTATTTTCTCTAATAGCCGTTAAAAGTTCGATTGTTACAGGAACAGCGCCTGTCGATGTGAAAGTGTTCACCATTACATCGGCGAGATCTAGAGCGTCTTTAATTTTGTCGATTGCAGCTTGTCGTACAATTAGTTTATCATTTTCAGGCTTGCGATCGCGCAGTTTGCTTTTAAACCTTTTTAGCTTTTCCTCCCCCAGATCCTCAAAAGTATCCTCCAGGTGTTCCTTAATGGTCTTCACCATGGTTCCTGAAAGTTACAGGCTTTGGACAGTATGAACCGCTGCAAAAGAGACCTCCTGTTTTGAGCCGAGATGAAGAAGCTGTGTCTTTAGACTTTCAGCCTGACATTTACATTGAACGTTTCCTTCCTCGTTTCATAACCACTGTCTTGTAAACACTGGGGTTGCTACAAGATAATATGTTTTGTATAAGTTTGTAATGCATGCTGTAGCCTATTTAATTATGACATAACTAGCATAGAACAGAAAAAAGCTTGCTGTTAAACTGAAGCAGCAATAGACCTCTGTACCTCTGAGAAAGTCATAATTTTCTGGAGACACCTGCATCTCCATTCCCATTCTGATTTTTCATGATCCAAAAAAATAGAAAGATGATTCAATGAAACAATAAAAATTACTTATATTACATGCATGCACACAGAAGTCTCCTTATAAAACAAGTAGCCTATAGCCTACTTCAAGTTTATTTTATAAAGTATACTTAAGTAAAGTTCAAGTATATTTTAAATTATACTTTTTGTAGTAAGTATGCCTATATACTAATATCAATGTACTATACTTGTAAGTGTACTGTTTCAATACAACTTGGGACTAAATCGGCCCACTTTTTAGAGTATGAAATATACTTTTAAGTATACTTTAAGTGTAACAGTACTAAACTTTGAGTACACAATTAGTTTACAACTAAGTTTTCGTTTGTACTGCAACTATACTACAAGTGAACTTAGGTATACTGATAGTTTACTAGTCAAATAATTGTAGCACATTTTTTAGTTTATAAAGTTAGGCCTACACTTTGAAGTACACTCTCAGTATAGGTTACTACTAGTTTAGTAGTTTTATACTTGTAAGTTTTATTTAAGCTAACAAATCATCACTACTAAGTTCCTATATTAGGTATTCATTTTGTATAGCCTACTTGAAATATGCCTTTAACTGTACTTAATTAACTGTACTTAAACTCTTTCCATTTTAAAAACATTTTATTCTAGTTTCATGCATGCTTTTTTATCAACTCTTGAATGTGGGTAACTTTCATAAAAAAGCAACATCTTGAATAGCATTTTTGTCAGACTACGTCTGGATTGGATTCAGAATGATGATCAAAGATGGAGTAGATCGAGTCCATTAACACCCTCAAAGCTTCACATTTGTTAAACCTTCCTGGGTCCACATTTTCATTTGGTAACTTTAGGCAGTTTTGAACTTACTGTACATGCGGTTTAATGTTTGATGAACTAGTTATTTTACATTTGCAAATTACCAAGTTTTGTCCCATTCCGATGAAGTAAAAAAATGTAAACAAAATGTTTTGGTCAAAAATGACCGCCAGAGGGTTGGATATATTGAGCAATGTGCAAGTCAATTACCATAAATACTCACACACCTGTAGGACATAGCAGGTGACGCATGCTTTATCATTGAATTATTTTCCTGTTGATCACTATAAAGCTGCTTTGAAACAATCTGTATTGCATAAAGCGCAATAAAAATAAAGGTGACTTAACTTGACTAAATGAAACCGAGTAACAACATTATTGTGAAAAGACGCATACTGTAACATTCAATTTATTTACAAGAATTCACAATCTGATGTTAAAACATCAGTTTACTTAAGAAAAAAGGAAAAAATGTACAAGATTAGTGTTCCAACGTCAAAAGAGGTAGCTAACAATGTTTTCTAAAGGCACCTAACTGCGTTTGATGGCTGATTTCAGATCTGTCTTTAAATATACTACCGGTATGTCGCTCATTCAAAAGTCCAAAGCAGTTTAAAGTACGTATCTTTGAACGGAACAGTCAGTCATTTCTTTGTTGTTACTATTTCCAGGGCATGGTTTTACAGTTCTTTTCGATCATTACAGGCATTTGAAAATGTCCTCCTCTAATGCGCCCAGGACTCTGTGTTTTCCTCCGGTCTGGTTGTGCTTACAGACTGGGGAGATACTGCATTTGGTGGAGAGATGTTTAGACTTGCAAAGACCTCGTGTGCCGTTTTTCCAAGCATGCCTTGCACGTCACAGACAAAGCGGTAGACGTAGCGCTTCCCTGCTGTTTTGTGAATGATGTTTTTGTGGTAGTAGTAACGCAGACCACGACTTAGCTTCTCGTAGTTCATTTTGGGCTTGTTCTTACACTGGCCCCACCGCTTCGCCACCTGGAGGATACAAGGGGAGATGTTAAGCCAATCTTTATCTTCAGAACAACTGAGCGAATGTGAAAATTCCAGATGTAAAGACAACAAATTCTCTTTTGCTTACATCGTCATGATGTTTTGAGACTCTACGCGTTTTGTTTTGGTTGAGGTATGAATCTTACCTCTGCAGGATCTGACATTTTAAACTCCCAGCCATCCCCAGTCCAGCTAATGAAAGTGTGGCAAGCAGAATCCAGCAGAAGTTCCAGCAGAAACTGCCAAAGCTGTATAGGCCCAGATCCTGATGGAGAACAAACAGTACTAAGTCATATATCCTGACAAGACTAAATTATTCTCATTTTCTGTTATGAAAAATATGTATGCTTCAAAGGCTTCTGTAACAATTGCTCACCTGGGTAGGCGGACATTGGTGTCATTTCACCCTCTCTGTCTGATCTTTGAGATGGTGCGCTACGCCTTTTGACCACACGGGGGCAGAATTGCTCAGAGGATTGAGTAACTGGAGGTGATGAAGAGGATGCCGGCTGCCCAAGCATGGAAGTGCAATAAGTGGGTGAGGGGTAGTCGGACCAGTATGAAGGCCTGCTTTGCTGCTCTGCTTCATACAAGGCATAAGGTCTCTCTGCATCACCTACACAAGAAAAACAACAGTTAATATTTCAATATTTTAGGTTATTTTAAAAATGAAAGAATATAATAAATATCCAAATAAATTATATATGTATATTATATATATTTATTACATAAAATAAAACATATATATAATTTATTTATTCCATTGTAAAAAAATGTTTTTATTATTATATTATTTATTTATCCATGTATTTATGCATATATAATTCATCATTTTTTGATACTTTACTCCTATATAATAGGTAATATAATACTTTTAAATGTCATCAATAACATATGCTATCTTCTATATAGCTTCGCCTGAAAATGCATGATATATTTGAAATAATATGCATCTCTCAAATGCCTACCCAGATGGTCCAGATTGACGGTACCGGTTGCTCCTCTGTGACTCGGACCTTTCCCAGGTTGGTAATGGCTGCTGGTGTCCATCCCTGGGCTGAATGTGCTGCTTTGTGCTGGAGTGCATAAAGGGACGAGGTTCTGGTAGGTTTGAGTAGATTCGTGAAAGGCAACCTGCTGCCTGTCTGCTACCATTCCTTCTGGAACTATGGAAAAATAAGATAGTATGAGGCCAGGCCACTTAAAAGACGAGTTTGCACATTGTAAATGTAATATATATATATATATATATATATATATATATATATATATATATATGTGATACTTACTATTAGTGTATGACCAGCAGCTAAACTCAGGGAAGGAGTCCAGATTAAATAGTCCAGAGTCTAAAAGAGTATGACCTATACAGTAAAAACACATTAATGTTTGTAATCATTAAAATAGTTGTTTGCATTATTAATATAATGGCCAGGAATTTGTGCATCATGAGATGCTTACCTTTAGCACTGTGCAAATGCTCCTTCTGGGGCTCTGAATAGGTTTCTGGATACTGCTGTTGTTGGACAGGTCCTTTGCTGTCTAATAAAAAGGACAGGTCTTCACCACTGCAGTCTGGAGGTACATTATCAAAGATGTGGAATGAATGAGAGCCAGAAGAAATCGTGTATTCTAGAATTAACAATGGATTAATGTATGTAAGCTCCCATAAAGTTTTCTACACCTAGTCTGAACTGTGCTAGGAATAAAAGTGTCTGTGACAGAGTGATGAAGAAGGGAGTAGGAGAGGGGGTGCTAAATCTGTTTGAGGAGGAAGTCTGGAGGAAAGGATTAGGAAGAAAGGGAGGGAGCAGAAAAAAGACGGGTGTATCTTTAACCCAACCACCCCTTTTTTTCTACATCCCTGGTTTGGACATTCCTAAATCTCAGAGCATGCATAGCCTGACATCCCCTTTTCCTGATGAGCTTTGAATTAGTGCACACAAACAAGGTGTCAAGGTCTAATTTTTAGGGTTTTGACAGGGGTGTTGCAATTCTGGCTTTGCAGCTCAAGGACAGCGGAAATGTTTTGCACGGACATTCAGGAAACAAAGCTGGAGAAATACTAAATCCCACAAAATCTGACAGATTTTCCCCCTGAGGGAAAACTGAATGTGATAACTGCAAATATGGGCTTTGACGTTATCATTTAGGCTATACACTGAGAGGGATAACAGGAGATTTTATATAGAGATAGCCTATTTAAACACTGTATATATAGAGGAAAGTGTGTTGAAATAAGATTTTACCATATGAGCTGAAGTCAAAACCACCAGGAACCTCCTGAGTTCTGAAGTCTTCTGTGTAAAATCCAGCTTGATACATTTCCATATCTGAAGAAAAAACAGCATAATTTAGATATTACACTAATAGCCTATAGAATTTGCATTTGCGTCATTGGGTTAGTTTTGTTTGGTCGGCCTAATTATTCCATTAAAAACTCTTATTCTCAAATTCTTTATAAACACATCAATGGGTGTAAAACAGTCCATTATTTTTAATGCCAGTCAGTGATCCAACACTGATAATACAGATTAAGAATCTAACTACAATTGACAGATTCGATTTTTAGAGAAATTGAAGAGAAAACCTTACCTTTACGTTCTCAGAGTCCTTATTCCAGATATAAAGGATTTACTACAGCCTCAAGCGCTGCCTTACAACCCTGTTGACTGTTGGTGCTTCACCGGGACCGTTATAAAGAGGCCGCGCGCGATGGGGCGTGTCCGCGCGACTTGTGAAGGAATGCGTCGTGACTGCGGTGACGTCAGACAGGAGTCACGACCACAGATTTGTTACTCTTCCCTCCTTTTACTAATGGTGACGTCAGACAGGAGTCAC